ATTTTAAAAAATAATATTGCGGATATTAATGCTCTTCTGGGAAGAAAATGGAGGTTTCAACAGGATAACGATCCAAACATACGAGCCATTTTGCAAAGTCTTACCTCGAATCGAATGTCCCCTTATTGATTGGCCATCTTGTAGCCCGGACTTAAATCCAATCGAAAACTTATGGAATATAGTCAAAAGAAATGTAAAAAAAAGAAAACCAAAAAATTTGAATCACTTATGAAGGAGGAATGGAATTTAATTCCAAATGATATATTAGAGAGTTTAGAAAATCGATGAAACGAAGATGTATGCTAGTAAAGGCGATACTATGATTATGAATTTTTTTTAACAAAATAAATGTTTTTATCTTTCAAATAAATGTATTTTTATTATAATTGGTTTGGTTATTTTTCCAAATAATTTTGAATCACACTGTATTTCCAAATCTGGAAATTTCAAACCCGATTACAGCATACATGTAATTTGCGAATGGATTATTGACGGGAGAAATGCCTTCTAAAATTGTTCTCGAAGAAACTGAAATAGATGATAGAGAAATATAAATGTTAGTAAAGGATAAAGTTTCATATTTATGAAGAAAAACATAAATTTTACAAACAATTTAAAGTCATTATGAGAATGCTCACATATTTCGATAATATAACGATTGAATTGGTGCTCGATTTGATACACACTGTGGTGATTGCACTAAATCAAGGTTGGTGGTGCTTATTTACAGCAGTACATGTGCAAATATATTGAACTCTGACATAACGAACTTAAAATATTAGTTCGTTATAACATGCATAGCAAGATCTATTGTAATAACTTTTACAACGAATTGTTTTTAGAAGGCACCAGCTCGTTATGTAAAGAGTCGGCTGTACTTATATGTTTTTAAGCATTCTAACATATAATTTATGAGAACAAAATTTTTCTGATTTATTACATGTAAAATTTTACATATTTTTGTATTTATAAAAATTATTTACTCCGGTAGAATTTACAGGATAATGTGAGGTTAAATTAAAAGAATATCCAAAAATACAAAGAAATTTTCGTCTATAATTAATTTACTTTTTCTACAATCTTTTCATTAACTGTCTTTTTTATATCTTTTTTAACACCATTGATACTTTCTTTTCCTCTAGTAGCGGAAGAATACGTTTGTTTATAGAAATCAACAAACAATACTAAATAACTACTTAAGAGGCCCATCCCAAAGAGCGCGGAAGCGTGATCTCCGGCACATCCACCCCAACTTGGCAGTAAATCGTGTAAATATAAATGTGAAAAGTACACGTATGAGCAAAAATACACGAATATCAAATCAAGCACAAATTGAGTTATTTGCATTGTTGTCAAGTATTTTTTCCACCAGATTCTTGCTCCACCTGCTGCACGGAAATAGTAATAGTACATTGGCACATGAACTGCTAGATTGAGTGTGATCGGAACGTACGACTAAAAAATACATGTAATACTTAATTATTTCGTCCCACCCACATAAACACAAAATAAATTTTTATAATTATATACCATGGGTGGTTTTCCAATCAAGTCAACATAACACATCCACACTGTAAACGTGTGATGATATACATGTAAGAATCCTATTGATAGATAAGTTTGCGTTAGAAGTGTGTGATTATCAAATTAGCGCCGCCGCCATTAATATCGATGTTAAAAACCGACCAAGTGATTTTTTTCGAAGCACCAGAAAGACAGTATCGGTAAGTTCCCAATATTTCACCAAATAATTTAAATAGAAAAGAATTTCTAATCGTTGTGTCCAAGCTTCTTTTGCACACAGCGAATGAAATAGACCATGATGATACCAAACCGGAAAAAGTTGTTCGAATAAAAGTAATAATAAAGAAAAACTGACTCCAGTCAATAGAAAATTGTGCAATTGAAAAATAAACTTCGCTTTTATAACATCAGTATTTCTCATCAAATATTGGCCGCCGAATACTACTATTAAATATGTTATCGATGCCGAGATCACATAATACCAAGTCGAAAATGGAGTTGAACCAACAGTGAAAGCAAATTCATCTGAACTGTTGCCATTGATTAGTGTGTATACTTTATCAAAATAATCATAAAGAGATATTCCGAATGGTCGTTCAGGTGAAAACGAAAATAATGTTTGATTTTTAGGGATATGATAATTATTATCAATAGTATTCATCTTAAAGCCAGAAATCTGAAAGAATTGTTGGGGCAGTAAAACTCCATCATTTTTATAATCGTTATCAGAGATGAGGCGCACAACTTTTGTTTATATGTGTGCATATAACATGTACTTTTTTTTGAGGCGTCATACAAAGATAACGATCAACCAACCGTTCTCTTAAACAACAACGTGCTTGGCGATACCGATACTAATAAATGTACATGTATTACATGTTACATGTATATTAATTATTATCTTTTAGCATGTGAAAATTTATTTTTCGAAATGCTTTATAATAAAGCTATTTCATTTTAAAAATACATGTACATGTATAACGATATTTATGTACTTATAGGTTGAATTAATTGTGCTTTTTAAAATAGCGATTGAATTAAAATACAGAGCATGTGCTTTTTAAAGTGCACGTAATTTCTTCATTATAGTAAACACAAACTCTCTTAATATATGTAAAAATTATTTTTATATTTAGTAAAACATATAAGGTTACTAATTAACTCTTATTTTTACACTTGACCCATAGTATATTGATTAGACTTACGAAAGTATATACAGGCAACTCTCTCTACAATCACAATGTCGGATTCAATAGTAATCTTTAAGAATGCGATTATAACGGGAAGGATGTAAGTATGAGTTTTTTGATGTGTTTTATTGCACTTCGAATAGGTAATTTTATGAAATACATATGATAAGTCAGCTTGAAATTATTTATCGTTATATAAATAAATACTTGATTAATTTGGCACATTTTGATTTACCAAAAAAAATATGAATATAAAGAAATAGAATTCTTTTATTTACATTTTTATTATTTTTAAATTATGAGAACTTTACATTTCTTCTTTATCAATATATTTAATCCGAATAATGAGCTCCAATTTATAAAACTTCAAATATATTTCGATATTAATAATATTTTGATAAATCGAAGTTGGTTTTAGAGCCAGTT